TTTCCTTTTAAGGTTTTTCAAGAAATATAAAATTCTTGCCAAGGACATTTGATTTATCAGAGAATACAAAAACAGTACCTAGAATGTTTCAAGGAACCACTGAAAATGATCAGGAAAAAGTATTGGCTCTACAATACTAGCTTAAAACTAAAAAGTAGAACTTTACACATATTTAAGTACAAGTCTAAAAAAAGAGTTAAAAGAATACAAAATGAAGGTAATTCAACCTGTTTCCATAACGAATTGGAGCTAACTCATTTAAAAGGTATGGGTATGACAGGTACATGAAAGCAAGGCAAAGTATGTCAGAAAACCTTGACTAGGATGCAACTGAGCATCAAGTTTAGTTCAGCTTCTTGGATGACAAGCCAAAAATGAGGAAACCGATGATTTCTTAGTCTCTTTTTTCTAACCAAAGAAACACCACCAATTAACCAGAAGAGACATGCTTTTTAAAGCAATAAAAGCAAAGATGAATGTATGAAGATCATTATATATATAAGGAATATTGAAACACATAAAAATAAGTGACAACATAATAAGTGCACCCCATCTCTTATGTATTGACTTTCAGTAAAAAGTAGAGTATTATAGTAAAGCACAGTGTAATGAAGATAATGTAACAAAAATGTGTTGTAATATAATTAGGGTAGGGAAATTTGTGATCATGACAAAAATGGAGAGCATGGAAGGTTTAGAAAACTGTGTAGACTATTTCTCTCAAATATCAATGCTTGCTCTTCCAGTCTTCTCAAAGATATTATACTAGAGCAATTTGAGCTTAAGATACCTGACTAGAGCTGGAGACACAAGTAGTATGTATTCTTCATTGAAAAATTATCCAAATGCTAAACAGCAGGTATACAAGTGACAGAAGTATCACTGCTCAAATAAAGTACAACCCCCTTCTATATGTTAGGCAGCAGAAATAACTGTAGAGAAAACAGTTGTTATTGTTTTTTTCATAGAAACTTTGAATTTGCTTAAGTGCTTAAATGAGATGAAAAGAAAATCAATATAATAATGAATTGGTAGCATGAAAGAAGGTGGCCCTCTATATTTCCTCCTCTCCATCCTCCACATTCTCCTTTAATTAAATCCAGTTTCCCTCAAGCACTAGCACTCAAGATAATTATTAAATAGACAAAATTAGTATTTCTATTTTGTGTGATTAAGATTTTGCCCATTCCACAGGCAACAGCATCTCCCAATTTAACTCCATCATCGGTCCTCACAGCCAAATCCAGGACCTCCCATTGGGATTTGATAGATTACAGATTTTATAGTATAATGTAAAAAACAATTGTGGAAAATTTGTATCTATTATAACTGTTTCTTTTATCTTAAAGCTCGAGTATGTTTTGTGATTTCCAGAAGAAAAAGATGATTCCACAGTAGCTTTCTGTTATGTTTTGCTTTTGCTTTATAATTGCAAAACACAATATTTCATCTGTTATAGGAATTAAATAGGCATGTGGAGACTTGTGCTGAAATTTAGATATGTTTGTAGCATTGTTACTTTTGGAAAATAAAATGTAAGCTCAAATAGACATTTTTCAAATAAACTTTTGGGAAATAAGTATCTGCATAAAGTAGAGTCCACTAGTACTTTATTCATTCATGACTTTTCTTGCTCATTTATTTAGGAAACATTAACAGATGTCTACTATGTATTCAGGAACTGGGCTGGACACTAGGACACAGGTGGGTCCTCCTCCACCAACCCACCCATTAAGGAACTCACTGTAGTTAGTAAGGGAGGGAGATGAAAAAATTATTATTCAAAGTGTGTTCAAAACACCATGGAAATGGACAAGATGAAATGATTAATTCTTTCTGCAGGGAACTGGGTACATTCTACAAAAAGAAATTCCACTTGAAATAGACCATCAAGAATCAAGAGGGACTTTCCAAGAAGAGAGAATTCCAGGAGAATGAATATCCGTGAGCAAGAAATCAAAAGTGTGAACAGTGTGAGGGGCCCTTGATAGGAAGAGGAAGCTAAAAAGGCAGGCTTTAAAGAGCTTTTAGTCACAATGCTAAAGAGTTTAGAGTTAACATAGTTCATTGGGATCCACCAAAGATTTTAGAACAGGGACTTACACAATTAAATCTGCACTTTATATAGAGGAGTGGTAGCAGTGTCAGGGTAGGGTGAAGATGCTACTTAAAAGCATACATGTACACAATAACTTCCAAAAACTGAACATTCTCTGCCTCCATCACAATAAGCATTCCACTTCCAAATGCACCTTAACTTAGCTGCTAAACCACCATAATCTTGTAAAGTTTGAGTTCCTGTGGCAGAGACAGAGGTTTTACCACTGAGAGACTCAATATAAGGCTCCAACTCTTCACATGAAGAGCATTAACTTCATGACTGAGTTGACTACTTATAATTTTGTTTTTAAATACCTTTCTCTATTTAGGAGAAATTATAATCCTTTAGCCATGAATTTTGGAGCAAACAGGCATTTTTTAAAAAAAAATTTTTAATTTCTTCTGCTTTTTCCCTCAGTGTAGGATGAATGCTTCATATTCTTATTATCATCAACCTCCTTCCCACCCATGTGTAACCAATTGGATGGTGGTCCCTTCTACTGGGCTCCAAACTGAAGCTCCAGCCACAACCTCCGTCTTCTTTTTTCCAAAGCACATCTTTGCCAAAAATTGAAACATGACAGAAAAGAGGAATCAGCATTACTTAAGCCCAACTCATGGGAAAATAACCCTTTACCAATGGCCAGAAAATACCACAGAAGAATAATCATAGGTAACTAAGATGATCCAATGGCAAACACTAAGAACAGGAACCAATTGCAAAGCCTGGAATTTACAGCAGCACCACCAGCTTTCAGCCCGGAGAAACCAACCTGGGCACTAACAGAGCCAGAAAGAAAACACACTTCACTCCTTGGGCCATTGGGTCACAGCAAAATGACTCGGAGCAGTGTTTGTAAACATCTAGTAGGCTTTTGGCCAAGACAGCAATGCAATCAGAACCAAACCACTCAGTACCACCTGCTGCACATTCCTCACTCTTCCTGTCCCACCTCCCACTTCCCTTAACCCCTACCCTTCATCCTGGAGAGCCCGAGATCACATATTACATAAAATCGTGCCTGGATGAAAATTCTCAGAGCTCTGGCCATTACTATCCCAGGCAAAACCGAAAAGGCTTTCCCTGGGGACTTCAGCCAAGAACACTTTTCACTTTTACCCTTAAATCTATGCTCTTGTCTGGAAGGATGCATTGCTGTTCATTCTGCAGTGAATTGTTTTTTCTTAAGAACTTAATTCTTCCCCACTTACTCTCAGGTTTGTAGTTTCAAGATGGTTCAAATTCACAGTATATACTACAGCCCAAAGAGCATCACTAAGAAACCATCCCCCTCTCAAATCCAAACCCCTGAGATTAAGTAAGAAAACCAAGTAATGCAATTGAAAGCCAAGGACAGACTGACTTTCAACAGCCTTTCACATGTAGAAAGGATTATAGATTTTCTTTCCTTTTATCATGCTACCTGTGTACTCCTTACTCCAACTAAATTCCAGATCTAAAAACTCAGTCTATCCCTTCTTCCAGCAAGAGCATACCTCCCCTGGGGGGTAGGAAGATATTATTTATTTTTAACTTTTGTCAATTCTTTGACATTCAGCAATGAACCTAACAAGAAAAGATTTCTGGACTTGCTTCCTGAAGGTAGGCATTCAGGGAAGGCAAAGGGAGAACTGTAGTACTGGGCTCTCTTAGAAGTTCAAATATCCCGAGAGAAGAGGAAGTATTAAGAAATTTAAAGGGGAGAGAGAGATTTTAACAAGTCTTTTGTAGCTTAATACCTGTTTTCTAATATAGTAATTATGTGTGTTTTATGTTTTATGATGTCCAGTTTAATACCAACATCCATCCTTGCCCTTAAGGGTTGGTTTTACATTCTAATGAGAATCAGGGACTGGTTGAATTTAATCCATCTGTCCATCTTCTTCTCGGTAATTGAGTAAACCTCTTAACTCCACTGTAAATATCCCTGGATTCCAATTAATTTGTCTTACTTAGTAAACACAGCAGCACATATTGTTTTACTTATGGAAAAACAAGCCCTTTGTAACTTTTATATTTCAAATACCCAGCATGATATATTATTTCCTCTTTTTAGAAAGAGATGGAATAATGATGTCTTGCCAGGTGTTTTTTTTTTTTAAGAAAAAGAGTGACAAGATAAACTATGATGAAAGCATTACTTGGAGATTATGTTCTAATTCAAATGAATTAAAACAGATTACAAGGGAGTCTGGTCTCTCCATTACTAGTTGGTATTGAAAAGCTAAGGAATCCAGAGTAACATTCTCTCCCTTCCTATTTGGGGACTTAGAAAAGAAACGCAGTCTAAAGTATCCTTTTAATGAGAATATATTACATCTTGTCCTCAAGAGAGGATGGTTACTTCCTCAAAAGTTATGTTTGCAAACTCTAGACAAACCCTTTTGGGTGTCTTAAAACTCACCAACGATTCCCCAACGTTTTGTGTTTGCAATGAAAGTGTGTATGATTAAAGCCTACTTCTGTGTGTCTGTTATCCAGGAAAACTCTCACATAAGACACTAACGGAAACAGGCAGGGAGAACGGGAGGCTGGATAGTAAGAGGGCACTGCACTATGCAGGTTTTGTTTCCATTAGTTCTATCAATGTAAACACATACTACCAGCTTGCGCCGTTTTTATCCTTTTAAAAATAATTTTAAAAGGAGCATTGTTTCCCATCACGTGCACACACACACACACACACGCACACACACACACACACACACACACACACACACACACACACACACACACGAGCACCAGCACACACACACACGATCCTCCCTCGCCCTCGTGCCCCTCCCCCCTCCACTCCCCTGTCCCTGGCAGCTGTGCCGCAGCCCCCGCGCGCCCCCAAGGCCGCGTCCCAGCCTCCGGAGGTGGCTCCGGTGGGCACCCCAGTAGCCGCGTCACCTACCCTGCTCCTTGCGCACGACAGATGCTGGACGGAGGAAGGAAAAGGCTCCGAGGACCAGCCGAAAGAAAAGCAAAAGAGATAAAGGGGGTGGGACGGCTCCTTTACTTCCCACAAGAAGTGTTGCGCGCCATGCACTTAGTTGCTCTGCAGCTGTGGTTTCGGAGGAAATTCTCGGGGCCGAGAAAGCTGCGGCTGGGGTGGAAAGTTGTGGGTGTTTTCCCCCCAGCTGCCTGCGCCTCGATCCTCTCCTGTCCCCGCCGCAGCCTTGACAGCTCCCGGGGCCTGGAAGACCCTCCGGAGCCCTGCGGGTTTCCACCGGGAGCTGGGCTGGGTTGCCACATGCACTTGAGAAATCCTAGCAGTTGCGCAAATCAAGAGTCCCAGAAGTTAGAAAGAGTGATTGTGTGTGAATGAGTAAATATACAGTACAAGAGGCTGGGACAACTGAGCGGGGCCAACCCACAGACGCAGCTCAGGGTTTCAGATTTCATTTGGCAACTGGCAGCTTCAGAAGATTCGAGCCCACTCAAGCCACTCTACTGGGGAGGCCGGGAGGAGCCCTTCGCTCCTGGAACGCCTCCCCGCTGTGTTACCTTGGAGCCTGTGTCCACCGGGATCACCCGGCAGAACCCGAGCCCGCGCTGCCTCGGTCTCTCCGCAGCTGCCATCACTCATTTCATTTCATGTGTAACACAGATATACTTTGATTGCGGATCTCAGGCTGTGGGTGCGTTTGAGAAGGATGGAAAATCCATGTCTGCTCACCTCCAGGAGCTCTGCATTTCTTTGACCAAACTCCACACACCGGTTTTACTTGCTTATCCTTTGCTCTCTGTGTAAAAGTCTTATTTCTCAATCAGATCTCCCTGGTTCCTTAAACCTGAATTCCTAGAAATGCTTATTGGATGCCTGCTAGTTAGATCCTCAGAGAAATTCTTCCTTGTCATGGTTTAAGAGCCCTCAGAATCACACAGTATGAAGGAAAGAGAATAAGTAAACATTTGAAGCCCTCTGTCTTCAATACCACCACCAACAATCTAATTTCAAATCTATATCTTACAGTATTGGTGACCTGGAATGCCAACTCAAATTGTTTCAAAAAGCTTTACAAAGCTCCCCGCTTCAGATTGTTTAGAAATCATTACCGGATTTCTTTAAGAAACAAAATAAGAGTGGCCTTGTTAGATATTGACAGTGATATGGAAAAGGAGCACAGATTTAAAAAGAAGAAGAAGAGCACACATTTAAATTTAGAAACACCAAAAATAAAAGTCTGAGTGGACACGAGATGTTTTCTTCTTTTTTATCTTCTTTCTCCGGTTTCTTGGAGTCTTCCTTCCTGGTGAACTGCCCCATCAAGCCTTTGGAAAAATGTGTACAGAATTCTTAGCCAGAAGCAACGTAGCTTATTTTCTAATTGGTAAGGAGTAAATGACCTTCATCAACTGATTGGGCTTAAAGTGTTCTAGCCGTTTTAGATGAAAGCTGGAAGACAATGAAATTAACCAAAATGAAACCTGCACAGATGGACTCAAAAGCCTTAGGAAGACAAGTGTTACTAGGTATGATGCTAGATGTCCACATTTTAAGAAAGACAAGGAACCTATCATGTCAGTATCCTATCTCAGGACCTAACAATTATTACTACAAGCAATGTAGACTCAAGACAATACAAAATTGACAGGGTGGTTAGATCCTTACTGGTAGTCCCTAATCCAAAAGATCAAGATATGCCTCTATGACACACCCTTGTGTCTAAGGCCTTCTTCTTCACATCTCCTGATTGTCAACCACCCTTTCCATTTGACATCACTTCATTGACGTGTGTGATGAAAGTGATTATCTTAAACTGGACTGTACAATCCTATATAAAAAAGCCTAATATGCTAAGTGTCCAACTGTTTGACCATTTGACCAGTCACTGTGACACGCACTGATCACTAGGGGGCAGACGCTCGGCCTGGCCTCGCAATCTTGGACCTCTCAGGGGATGTTGGAGAGCCGGTTTCGGCCCAATCCCCACAGGCCAGGCCAAGGGACCCCACCAGTGCACAAATCCATGCACCGGGCCTCTAGTTTAAGGATAAAAAGATTGTCATCTGGGGATTAAGCAGTAAGGAAGTATATCTATTAAGACAAGCCTCCTCTTGCCCTCCCACATTTCTTCAGAAAGAGAAGGGCCACTGTATTCCTTTCCTTGAAGCTCCTCAGGGATTTAGCAAAGATCTTTGTTACAAGAGAGAATAACCTAAAATAGAAACACGGGGTTGTTCATAGGACTCAGACTATGTTATCCCTCTCTTATTTGTGGACTAATTGGGGCTGGGAGATATTCCTCAACTTTAAAGGAGAAATAGGTTCTTAAACAAGAGACTTGAAAGATTCTAGCTAAAGGAGGATCTCAATGCGACTGATACAGACTCCAGGGAAGGGGTATCCGTCATTCAATTCCCAGGGTCTCTGATAAGAAATTGCCCAGGGCATCACTTAAGCTAAGTTTTACCAGTCAGTCAACTCAATTCTGAGTTTAGGTCAAATTCCAGCAATGTTTCCAGGGTAAGGACTAATTTTCCAGGATTCCAAAGTCATAGATATCCTCAGAAGAAGGGTCTACAGCAGTCAAGGGTTTGAGGAACCTCAGATTTACAAGGGGAATGTGTAATTCCTCCAGGACCAGATGGATTTCAGGGACCTAAAAATGAGGTAGGAGGAGGATGAAATGAAGGAAAAAGAAGAGGAGGAGGAGACCGAGGAAGAAGAGGAGTGAAAAATGATAATGGCTTCACTACACTTGGACAAATTGTTTGAGCATCAGCATTGCCAGAGACAAGGACGGAAAAGCAACCAGACATAGCCCCTTGGACATTGTTGTTCTCAGGCCACTTTGATTGGAATTCAGAGGGAACTCAGCAAGAGCTTGTACAATCACTTTGTCTAATATATTAAGTACATGGGTCAAATGGTGCTATTATACAAGTATGGATTAAAAATGTATTCTAATGTACTTCACTAATTTAAAAATTATAGTTTTCTACCAGATTCCTTGCCAGATTCTTTGCAGATCTTAGCATAGAGTAATATATTGTCATGTTACCCACTTTCTCATTAATATTAGATACTGGAGTTCTTTAATTATGTTTTCTTTTGAAAATACATAAATTCCTAAGAGGGCAAAAAACACAGTAACAAAACAGAATAGTGAAGAATTGCCAGAATCCTAACATTTCCTCCAGGCTCTCACCAACAATGCACAATTTGTGTGGGTACTGAAATATGCCAAGATCTGATTTCAGGATTAAGATAGAAGGCATCTCTACTGAAAAACATTTACATTTTTATTTTTATTTCCTGCTAGAAGTTTCTTTTTAAGAAAGTGCAGCTTTGTCTTAGCAAAAGAAGGTGGAGAGTGATTGGGGGGGTTTTGTGCCCATCCTCCCCCAACACTTTAGATTACATGATTCAGGGAAAGGGGATGTACTACTATACTGGGACCAAATCAATCCAGCTAAATCCCTGTGAGAAAGATAAGGAGACAAAGAGAAAAGCAGAGAAGGGCCACTATAGCCATGGATTCCTTCCTAACTCCATCAAAGGCCTGATAGCATCAGGAGTTTCAAAAATGAAGCATGTTCTGTGGCCATTTAGATCCTGAGTAGAACATAGCATCAACCATCACTATATTCTTATTCAATTGACATAGTGTGTTTTTTAAATCCTCACCTGAGGATATAATTTTTTTATTGAATTTTAAAGAAAATGGAAGGGAGAAAGAGAAACAGAGATATCGCTCTAAGAGAGACACACCGATGGGTTGCCTCCCCCACTCACCCCAACCTGGCCCATGATGTAGCCTGCAACCAAGGCACACGCCCTTGACCAGAATTGAACTTGGGACCCTTCAGTCTGAGGACTGACACTCTATCCACTGAGCCAAACTAGCTAGGGCCAATTGACATAGTTTTTTTTGGCAGTCCAAGTCACATTTCTTTTTTTTTCTTTTTTTAAAAATATATATTTTTATTGATTTCAGAGAGGAAGGGAGAGGAAGAGAGAGATAGAAACATCAATGATGAGAGAGAATCATTGATCGGCTGCCTCCTGCACGCCCCCTACTGGGGATCGAGCCCACAACATTTCATGTGCCCTTGACTGGAATCGAACCTGGGACCCTTCAGTCCGCAGGCTGATGCTCTAGCCACTGAACCAAACCAGCTAGGGCCCAAGTCACATTCCATCATCCCTTAGACCCCCAGAGTAGATGGTACAACAAAAAATCCACAATTAAATTTATTTTTGAAATTGCTGTTTTTTCTAATTACAAAATTAATGCATGTTCAACACGTGAAATGAGGAATCTACAAAGAAACATAAGAAATAAAAACTTGACATGTTCTTACCATTCAGAGATACTATTAGATTAAAATTAGACATAATTTGAACATGTCCAATTGTTTCTTCACTTGTTTATGTGCCTATCTTTTTATTTTTCAACCACAGTTTACATTCAATGCTACTGTGTACTAGTTTCAGATGTACAGCCTAGTGGCCAGAATATCATATATTCGACACATTGATCACCTGGTATTTCAAGTACCAGCCTCACAACACACATAATTATTGCAATATCATTGACTGTATTTCTTAGGCTGTACTCCACATCCCTTGACTATTTTGTAATTATCAATTAGTACTTGTTAACCCCTTTATGTTTTTCACCCAGCCCTCAAAACCCCTTTTACCTGGAAACCATCATTCAGTTCCATCTATAGGTGTGTTTCTATTTTCTTTATTTCATTCTATAGATCTTACATATAAGTAAAATCACATGGTATTTTTTCTTTCTCTGATTTATTTCACTTAGCATAACATCCTCTAGATCAGCGGTTCTCAGCCTTCTGGCCCTTTAAATACAGTTCCTCATGTTGTGACCCAACCATAAAATTATTTTCGTTGCTACTTCATAACTGTAATGTTGCTACTGTTATGAATCATAATGTAAATATCTGATATGCAGGATGGTCTTAGGTGACCCCTGTGAAAGGGTCGTTCGACTGCCAAAGGGGTCGCGACCCACAGGTTGAGAACCGCTGCTCTAGATACATCCATGCTGTCACAAATGGTAAGATTTCACTTTTTTTTTTTACGGCCAAATACTATTCCATTGTATATATGTACCACAGCTTTTATATGGACATGTCTATTAATGAGCACTAGGATTGTTTCCATATATTGACTATTGTAAATAGCACTGCAATGAGCATAGGGATGGATATCTTTTTTCAAATTAGTGTTTGGGTTTCTTTGGATATGTACCTAGAAGTAGCATTGCTGGGTCATGAGGCAGTTTCATTTTTAATTTTTTAAAATAAGTTTAAAATGATTTTAGAGAGA